GGCCTTGTGTAAGTCATGTTCCAGATACATGCCTTTGAGTAAGAGGCAAGCAGTTTATAACCCAGCTCTCAGGCCCTGTGTGACATCATGATACCAAGAAAATCCCCTCAGAATTTCCCCAAGCCGGTCTCTGTCTTCATTTATATGACTCCGAGGCCCTAAAGGGTTATGGTTCCTAAGAAAGGAGTCCAGTTACCAGAGATATCTATGTTCAGGAAGAGGAACACAATGCTAATAAAATGGCCCTCCCAGGAGTAAGTCAACCTTCCCAAAATTAATCAACTGATGGAAGAATCACTTTGTTTTAAAAATAACCAGGGAATGCAATGTACTCACTACTGCTTCTGATAGAAGTTTTTTCAAAAAGCAAGACCTAAGCTGCCCGAATATCATGAGTAGAGGGGACATTTTCTGCTGATTTTCATTATTTTTTCCTTACCTTGGAAGCTAAGCCTTGAATGTGAAGTGGAAACTGGAGACCAATGCAGCCATGTGGCCAAGATGAGAGGAGGCTGGTGCAGATGCCAGGCCTGGGTCCAGGTTCTCCACTGCCTTCAACTAGCTTCATGACTTGGGGCAGGTTTCTTACCTCCCCCTAGATCATTTCCTCACACATGATTCAGGGGGGCAGAACCATCATGCACACAACTCACAGAGGCTGCCTTGGGAGCTGGTGAACTGTCACCATAAGCATGATTTAAAACAACGCCTGATTGACCACTTGATGACCCTCAGAGCTAGCATTTGTCTAATTCTCTCAGGGTTCATGAGGTTCTTTCATGTGTGTCATTGCATGTCGTGACCACGACAATCCAACTAAGGAGGTACCTCGATTTTCATTGCATAGACACCATCAGAGAACAAAGTGGTGTGGCCATGCTCATAGGGCAATAATTAGTAAATACTTCACCCCAGACCTGGCTCAGGCCAAGTGCAGTGTCTTGTCAGGACACATACTGCTGCTCTGTTAGGGTGCTTAGAAGGGAGATTCCTGTAGCAGGGAGCTGACCAGTATGATGATTTCTAAGATCTGTGCTTCCGTAAATAAAATGAGGAAGCTGGATTTAATCAGGGCTTCTACAAACTTCTTGTAGCAAAAAAGACCCTTTCCCTTCTAATGAAATCTAATATAGAACATCAAAATAAGAGACCATTGCAGCATCTCTCTTGTTGAAAAAGAGAAAGCAGTCACCCAAATGTCCATCAACTGACAAACGAATACTAACATGTGGTATATCCATGTAACAGAACATTATTTGGCTGTAAAGAAGAATGTAGTACTGACACATGCTACAAGGGTGAAATTCAAAAACATTAAACTAAGTGAAAGAAACCAATCACAAAAGACTGCTTATGGTGTAATTCTATTTATATGAAATATCCAGAATAGGTAAATTCATAGAGACAGAAAGCAGATTGGTGGTTGCCAGGGGCTGGAGGAAGGGAGCCATGGGGAATGATGGCTTAATGGCTTCCTTTTGGAATGGTAAAACATTTTGGATATAGCTAGTGGTGAAGGTTGCACAACATTGTGAATGTACTAAATGCCAATGAATTGTACACTTTTAAATGGCCCATTTTTCTAAAATGTGAATTTTATCTCCACATATACGATGTTTCCAGAACTCCATCCAATGAGCCTCCCACTTCCTGTGTCCCCACAGAGCCTCCACAGAACCCTAGTATGAAAATCAATGGAGCCACTAGAGATTACAAAATGCTACTGGAGCCAAAATAATTCTCATTTGATGAATGTTTTCCTTCTTCGGGAGCCAAAGGTAATTTCTCCAAACACACCAAATGAATATGGGCCAGTGACATCTTGCTCCCTGGAAATGGAATCTTCCATTGGTAATCAGGTCCAGTGTCAATTCTAGTCCATAGTAATCTAGGGGCTTCAGTTTTAGGATATGTTATCAGTTTTAAATTCAAAATTCTACCTTAAGTATACCAAGAAAGAGAAAAACAACTAAGCATTATTTTTTGTTTATTCGTTTCAAGTTCAGTAGATATTTTTCACTCTTGGGTGGTAAACTTAGCATTATTAATTGCCTAGCATGGATTAAAAGTTTCTCTCATTGTTTATTAAATACCATGATCCTAATTTTACATAAAAGGATTCTGAAGCTCCACACAGCTATGCAACATCCCCAAGGACTTACCACTGGTTGATGGCTGAGTCAGGATGTAAATCTCAGTCTCTTCAGCTCAAGAGAAGCACTTTTGACTATGCCAAAATTGTTATCAGCAGAGTTGAATACCCGCCCCCAACCTTAGACCACCTGAAGACTGCTTTCAGTCCCACCGAGAAACTGGTCCCAGGCTACAAGACCCAGAGGTGTACAGAGGTGCATGACACATGAACCCATTTCTCTTCTGAACTTTCCAGAGCAGTTTGGGGACTTGAGGGGTTCAGGGAGTCTATGCTTTTTCTTCCGTCTGTGTGGGGAGAGTGAAGGCCCACTTCAACAATCTTGCTGACAAACTGTCCTGAAGAAAGAACTAATGGTGGACTTTGGACCCTCCTTGGTTAAAGAGTTGAAGGGAAAGGCTAGAACATCACTTGTTTTAAAAAGTTAGAACAAATCCTATGCAAAATCTATAAACTCCAGCTTTTAAAGGTAACTTCTAGCCTGGAAGTTTATGTGGCATCATTTTATGCAGTCGGAGTGACATGATCTCAAACTTGGACATCCAAGATTCAACACTACACTGCATTTTTTGGTGGGCATAAATCTGGCGCTTTTTCAAGTTATTCTGAAACATTTCTACACAAAAGATTTGATAATAATTTTGGCCTTTTCCTCTGCAGGGTAAAGTTGTCGAAATGATAATTATAATCCCTTATGTATAAACACACTTGTTAGTTGACAAAGTACTTTCATGGATAATCATTGCTGGACTTAAAGAAAAAAGATGGAATTAAGAAAAAATATCAGTAAGTGGCACTTAGCTATTATCACATACCTTTACACTGTAGGTAGGAAAGGGTGAAAATAAAGTGTTTTTATGTTAGAATTAAAGTCAGTTTCTTGAAGTTCTAACTGTTCCTGGTTATCAATTTTAAAAAGTCAATGCTTTTTAAATTAAAAATGAGGTGCTGCTATTTATGTCTTGATAGGTTGTAAAATGCCTTTCACATCTTTCCCAATGGTCCTGTGCCCCACTGCTATTAAATTTTAGAACTGCAGCTCATATGGATTAAACAGGTGTAGGTAAAGAAAACCATCTAGAACAAGAAAAAGAAAACTAATTTTCGTTCAGTGCCATTTAGTGAAAATACAGTGGAATCCTTCCATGTCTTCATGCTTTGGTGGCCAAGGTCAAGTTGGCTCCGGCCACACAATGACTTTTGAATGTCTTGTTCCCACCAAAGGAATCAGAATGCTAATGTGTTAAGGTCATCTTCAAAAAACTACCTCCATGCCATGCTGCCATAGATGGCCACCCAAATCTCCCCACAATGTCAAAGATCTCTCAGGACCTAATCTCTGCAGTTGAGATCAACAGCTACTAGAGAATATATTTTTGAGGAATGAGTTTTATTCCAATAAATCTGACCAAATTCTAATTAATTCATTGCTTTTCCTTAGAGATGGCTAAAGAAAGCAGCTGCATTCATACATACCAGGGAACATGCTATTGGGCTGCCATCAAGTTTGGGCTGCTCAGAGGACACACTAACCCCTCTGAAGCATTGGCTGGTGGAAGACACACCTGGCAGGACCGGCCCATACAAACTGCAGGTGAGCATTCTCAGCCGAGTCTTGCCAACAATGGCAATCTGTGCCTCATGCCGTGAAGAACCCTCTTGAGAACTCAGCTGAGCAGGCCATCCAGCCTGACTCAGAATATGACAAATGCTCCTTCAGGGTAACATTTCCTACAAGGCAGAGGCCCTCAACCTTGGTCGCATAGCAGCATCACCTAGGTAACCTAGAAGCTTCCTGTGGCCAAGCCTCCATCCCAGGTCAATAAAAATCAGCAACTGTAGAAGTGGGAGCTCTAGCACTGTATTTTTGAAAGTTACCCAGATGGTTCTAATGTGCAGCAAAGGATGAGAAGCTCTATCAGAGGGTAATTCTAACAAAATTTGGGTTTCAACCCAGTCGGGGAGGAGCCTTAGTAGAGGAACCTGCAAAACATCCCTTACTTGGGGAAATCAGCATTTCTCTCAGTTTTGAACCATTGCTGACAAGTGCTTTACTTGCCTGGGTGCATTTGGGTCCATCTGATTTGTCAGGGGGTATGAGAGGTGCTATTTGACACATCTGTCTTTGATTTTTCTGACTAAAACACTGGCATAATAATCTTTACTCAACCCTCACTTTGCGAGAGCTTGGTGTCTGGTTAAAACAAAACAAACAACATAGCCAAGTGAAATATCATTCATTTCTGGAGAGATTCCATGGAGAGAAGGCGTGGCACATCCATCCATCAACATCCCAAAGTCATATCCCACTGGGTGGTTGGGGATGGAGAAGAATTGTACTGGTTGCAAATATGCTAGAACTGTCATTAAATTGGCTCTGCAAATTTTGAAACTAAAAGTTTACACTGCAAGAGTGTAAATATCAGGAAGAAAACAGACAGGAGGCAACTCTTACCACATCCAAGTTACCTGTGGCCCTCTTCTCCTGAATTTTATTTTATACTTCCAATGCTTGAGAACTTCAAAGAGAAGCACTATGTGAGCAATGGTGGGCAAATGGAGACCCCTACCACTGAGGGAGACTGGGTTCTTAAAGAGGCTTTTTAGATTGGATAATGGTCAGAAATTCATCCAGTGAACACTGTTTGTCAAATTACTCTTGATTTTGAGTCATTTGTTGCTTGGGGACTAATATTTATAAAATGACAATATGAATTATTATATTGTTTAATATGTAAATCTCACTCACAGTGTTAACAGGCTCCAAGAACTTAACTGACTTGCTTAGGACATGACACAGAGTTAGGAAGCAGAGTTAACAGAAACAAGTGACATGAAAAGTACTTACGGGTTCTCTCTTTTCTTCTTAAGTGGGTCCATGAGGCGCAGAGTGTCTCTGATCACTGCCACTTTCACTTCTTCATCAACGAGGCTGGGGACATTTTCAAACACCCCTGGAGAAAGCTTCAATGGGTAAGAATTCTGTGTCACAGTGGAGATCGTGATTCCGTGCTGAGTAGCTATCAGCATCCAATCTTCCAACTAACTCAAGGGGTTGTACTATTAAATTATGCTTAAATTATGATACTTTATAGAAGAGATTTTTAAAAGAATATCATCTTTGGGAGGCCAAGGCAAGTGGATTGCCTGAGCCTGCAGGTTCGAGACCAGCCCAGGCAACTTGGTGAGACCTCATCTCTACAATAAATAAAAAATTAGCCAGGCATGGTAGCATGTGCCTATAGTTCTGGCAACTTGAAAGGCTAAGGTCGAAGGGTTACTGGAGACCAGCCAGTCAACACTGGGATGGCCATGAGTGTGCCACTGTACTCCAGCCTGGGCAATGGAGTGAGACTCCAACTCAAAAAAAAAAAAAAAAAAAAGGAAGAAAGAATATTTTTATACTACCTTAAAAATGCCAATTTCCACTTATAAATTAACAAAACACATGAAGAGGAAAAATAACACTATTTTTTAATTATCAAAATTATACATGCTCACTGAAGAAAATTAAATATAGAAAGGGGTTAAGGAATTAACAATTCTAAGAATCCTAACAATTCCCCCCAACTCAATATTAATATTTGCTATTCTAGTTTTGTAAATGCATTTTTGGATAGGGGAAGAGGAAAAAATATAACCACTGCTAAATGTACTGTTTATCTTAGTGATTCAAGCATGTCGACATGACTAAATCATATTCATAGAATTTCAATTAGTTCATCTTCTGAGGCTAACTAATTAGTTCACGTCAAAACTGATAGAAAGGCTCCATTGCTTCTAAGTTTCCAGACCTTAAAAATTGGCAGAATGGCATGCTGGGAAATTACCATAGATCGGCTAGGTCTTATATTAATAGACTATGTTCAGAGCTCAACCACACTAAAAGTATTTGACTTGAACAGGAGTTTGATGTGAAAATGTGAGAATGTTGACTCTTGTTTAGTTATGTGAATAATCCAAGAGGAGGAACATTCTGGTGTATGGCAGTATAGTCAATGAGATGTTCAAAATACTTACTTCGTGCTCATGTTCGATTCTCATACTGGGATTTGCATTTACTTCAAGTAGTATAGGCTTCAGATTTTTCATTAGAAGAATGTCAAAGCCTAAAATCTGTGCAGAATAAACATAATTCAGAATTACTCTTTCTAACCACAGTTACTTTTCAGGAATTGAGTATGGTATTAGGATCATTATGGTGAAATAGATTCAAACTCAGTCCCCATCCTTGACTTTGACCCTGGCTTCTTTTATCCATAGCCCCTCTTCCTCTGGGTGTACTTGTCAAACCAAATGGACAGCAGAAAATTTGATAGGAACCTTGATAATGAGGATGAGTTCCCATAGTGCATTTCAGCACTATCTATGTGGTCTGAAGTGCTGTGAGATGATGACCTCTTTCTTCCTTAAGAAGTTTTTTTATTTTATTTTTTATTTTTTATATATTTTTTTGAGTTAGAGTCTCACTCGGTCGCCCAGACTGGAGTGCAGTGGCTGGGAGTGGCCACTGCAGCCTCGCCTGCTTGGCTCCGGCGATCCTTCTGCCTCAGCCTTCCGAGTAGCCAGAATTACAGACATGCGCTACCACGCCTGGCTGACTTTTTGATTTATTGTAGAGATGAGGTCTCGCTGCCCAGACGGGTCTTGAACCCATGGGCTCGGGCAATCTACTCACCTCAGCTTCCCAAAGGTGCGGAATTACAGGCTAAGCCACCGAGCCTGGCTAAGAAGTTTTTTATTATGCTGAGAATGAGTAGTAGTCCATCAATTTTCCCCACTGCCTTTTCTCTTGCCGTTCTTTACTAAGTTGTTTCTTAGCTAGATCTCTGAAATCCTAAGGCAGCTCTGCTTTTTTGCTATTATTTTTTATTTTTTATTTTTTGGAGCCTGTTCCCCAGGCTGGATTGCAATGGCACTATCACAGTTCACCACAGCCTCTACCTCTTGGACTCAGGAGATCCTTTCACCTCAGCCTCATGACTAGCTGAGACTACAGGCATAGGCCACCATATTCGGGTTATTTTTTTTTTAATTTTCTATAGAGACGAGGTCTCACTGTGTTGCCCAGGCTGGTCTTGAATTCTTGTCCTCAGCAATCCTCCTGCTTCAGTCTTACAAAGTGTTGGGATAAGAGGCATGACCACTGCACCTGGCCAACGTTGCTCTTTTTAATCTGGGGTATGCATCAGTGTCACAAAAGGACCCCTTTTAAAACCACCGCATCCCCCAACCCACTCCTACTGACTGAGTCATAAGCTCCCAGAGTGGAACTCAGAAAAAGTGTATTTTGAAAAAACATAACAAATCCCCCAGTGATTCTGATATTCTGATATATAGGCACCTAGTAGGCATCAATTACTATATGATGCACCGAGGATTCTTAGACTCATTTAACTTGAATGGCGGTGTATTTGAAGGAGGGAATATGCTCTCCATTTTGCAGAAGCAGAAACTAAATCTCAGAAAGGCCAGTGGATATCCTGAGACTGCCTAGCTGGTAAGCAGCAGAGCTGGATTTCACACCCAAGCAGGACTGACTACATAGTTTGTGTGACCCAATACGAGATGAAAATGTGGATTCTTTGTTCCAAAAGCATTAACAGTTTCATGATGGTGACAATGGAGCATTAAACCAAGCTCAGAGCCCTTCTCAGCACAGGGCCCTATGCAACTGCCCTGCATCCTATGTCCAGTACCATTTGTTGGATGCCTGCCTGTTCATAAATCCAGCATGCTGCCTTAGGTAAAGCTTTACCCTCTGGTTTCCTTCAATTTCTTAGATGCCCTGCAATAGGGGCAAGGCACCCTTAGGTATCTTGTTCTCTCTGCCTGAAATAACCTTTTACCTGGATAACTTTTCCCACTCCTTGAGACTGCTGCTCCTAATAAGATTTAGATTCAGACTACAAGGATGTCAGATTTGCAGGAGGGCTCCTGTTATCTCCATGGAAGTGATAATTTAGAAAGTTTCTAACATAGATATACTCTGCAGAACCCCACAGTCTGAAAAATATAATGTGGAGGCCAGGTGCAGTGGCTCACACCTGTAATCTCAGGACGTTGGGAAGCTGAGGCAGAGGATCTCTTGGACTCAGGAGTTCAAGACCAGCCTGGACAACATAGTGAGATCTCATCTCTGTCCGCCCAAAAAAGTGGAGAACAAAAGAGGAAAAGTGAAAAATATATGGTTGTAGATCCCTCTCCTCTGTGGTCTTAAGAAAAGAAGATGAGGGAAATTCATTTCCTTGTCTATATAGGATATACATTAGTTAAGTGATAATTACTAATCTGTAGCTTTATCCTTATTAATGCAATCAGAGCCCGAAAGACCATTTTTGGGGGATGATTTGAAGTGAAGTTATTTTTAAATGAAGGGCAGTAAGGATGAGAAGTTGGGAAAAGTCATCCTGACTGTATTTTTCTTTCCTTGGTCATGAAAAGAAAGGAATGAAAATTTGGTAGAAAATGTTACATGTATTATAGATCTGCTTAATAATATATGACAAGGGGATGTGAGTGATGAGTCCTTTTAGAGATGGTGACATCATCAGTCTCACTTCAGACCTGGTCTGAGACAAGTGATGTTGATGAGACCACAGAGAATGGCAGCTGCAGTGACAACGTTTATCCTCCTTAGTCATCAGCTCTCACTTTTTGCTATGTCTTAGAAATTGAACTACTTTCTCAGCCTCGTGGACTCTTCTCTGTTCCATGCCCAGTGGTGTCATGATTGTAAAGCTATAGGAATGCTGGGAGCTGGAACAGGAGTGGCTAAGCCTCATCAACCATAATGGCCTACAACCACCAGTGGCATATTTTCTGGAACCTAAATGTGGGTGCATGTTTTTGAATACATTGGGTCTTGTACATGAAAGCTTTGGGGTCAAAGAGATTCCAGATGTCTCTTGCACTTGCTAGAGAACTCCAGGCAAGGTGTTTAGCCTTTCTGTGCCTCAAGAACCTCATCTGGAAAATGAAAAGAATGGCAGTGGAAAGCAGTACATAGGACTATGATTATTGTATAGAAGATATTCTCAGTAAGCGCTAGCTCCCTTTCCAGTGTCCTACCAATTCCACCAAAAAGAAACGGCATGAGGGTGCGTTATAGTCACAAGAAGCTAATTTCATGTCTTAGTTCTGCCTTTAACTTGTGTGACCATAGCCAAGTTACTTAGCAGCACTAAGTCTAAGTTTCCTCATCCACAACATGGAAATATAAATGGTACTTACTTGCTTTAGTTCATTCATTCATAAAATATTTATTGAATGCTTTCTATGTCCCAAAGACTATAATAGCTGCTGGAAATATGTGAACTGGACAAAGTTTTACACTCTAGTAGGGGAGAGGGTCAAATAAAGGTATGCAACATAAAATATTTTGCACAGTTCATGACAGTAAGTGTTTAATGAAGGCCAGCTTTATTGTATTTCTTCACAAGTTCAAGGACATATGAATGATTTTGTCAAGAGTACAATGAAATATGTAGCACCAATGGATCTCAGTAAACAGAATCACAGAATAGGGAGAACTTGGAGTTGATCTTGTCATAAAATCTTGTCCCAACTGGCAGAAAATCAAAATTTACTTGTTCCAGTGGTTTTCAAAATGGGGTTCTTTTCTGGGAACCAAGGAGGAGACCAAACAGATCAGATTAACTTTTCTCTATTTTACATACTGGAGTTCCCAGGGAAAACCTTACATTTTTGGAAAAATCACAAATCTAGTTTAATAGTCACTTTGTGCAGACCAGGAACCCACAGATTGGAAAAGGAAAAACCCTCCAAGTCCCTCCAACAGAGCAGGAATTCTCAAATGGAGAGCATTTCAACCATGTAATCCTCTGCTTTCCCCAAGTAATTCAATCAGTAATTACGTGTTAAGCACCTTCTTTGAGGGGGTACCTGGGTGGATTTAAAGATATTTGTTCTTCATCCTTGACCCCTAGAAGCTTCAAATCAAGTCGGAGAGAAAAGGCCCTAAATCTTTCATTTTAAATTCATGCGAAGGCTCCAAGCTACATTGCAACGAGAGGGTCCTCTCCTGAGCTCCAGACCTACACATCCAACTGCATCCAGAGTATTTCCAACTGGGAAGTCCTGACCCTGAAATTCAGCACATCCAAACTCACTATCTGTGGTCAGCAGCCTCCTAGATGGCCCAAAGGATCCCACCTCTTGGTATTTATGCCTTCGTGGAATCCTCCCTCACACACCTGGAAGTGGGCTGCACCTAGTGGAATCAATCTAACAAACAGAAATGATGGGATGTCACTTCTAAGATTAAGCTATAAAATGACTGTGTGGTTTCCATCGTGAGGTGCCTTCTATTGTGCTCTTGCTCGATCGCTCTGAGGGATGTCGCCTTCCATGTAGTGAGCTGTCCTATGGAGAAGCAAGGACCACATGAGTGATCTTGGAGGAGGATCTTTCCCCAGTCCAGCCCTGAGATGACTACAGCCCTGACCAAAGTGTGAGTTGCAGCCATGCGAGAGATTGGAGCCAGAGGCAGGCAGGTAAGCCTAGATTCCTGACCCACAGAAGCTGTGAGATGATGGATACTTGTTTAAGTTGCTATGTTTTGGGTAATTTGTTACATGGCAATAGATAAAGAATACATGCTCTTTCTCTAAAACTTGCTTTGCTCCCTGTGTTCCTTATCCACCCGATGACACGAGTTGAAGCTTTCCCCTTCACTCCTTACCTCTAGCTGACCACCAACTCCTGCACATTTACCTCCTAAAGAGTTTTCTAGATCTGGCCCATCCACGTGCTGCTACTCTCCACAGGTCTACACCATCTCCCACCTCTTCCCTGCTCTCAGATTCACCCCCTTTTAATCCATCTGATCCAAGGGGCTGCCAGTCATTTTTCTAAAATGCAACTCGAATTTGAACACTCCTCTGCCTAAGTTCCTGCCCACAGCACGAAGTCCGAGTCCCACAGCGTGTCCTATAGATTGCTCTATGACCTGACGCCTGCTTTAACACTCCAGCTCGACGACCTCCCACTCATTCCACACACCTGGGGCTCTAACTGTGTGGAACTATGAGCAGTCCTAGGCTTCTCTACTGCTCTCTGCCTTTATCCTCTTTTGCCCAAGGCATTCTTTTCTT